ATCTAGATGGCAGCTTGCTAGCTTTTAAGATCCCAGTCACTACTCGCCAAAGTAGGAGGTGGAACAATGTTTTGTATAGTATGTCATGCCAATTGAGCTTGATGTCCCCTGCGACTACGTGGACCCCATTTTTGAAGATGTGTTCTCTTACCACACTATGGGGCCCAGCGACTGTAAACATGCTTGTTTGGAAGGCAAGATTCTTGGTTCTGATCTTGATCACTGATTGACTCCTGGATATCTCAAACTTTCCAGTGTTTAATGTCTAGGTCCCACCAGCTGAGATCTAAGGTGGGTCCCCTATGCCCACTGCTGAGCTCTATAATAGTCTCTGCTGTACCTACAGCTGGCTCTGGGAGGGTCCCTTATGTTCATAACTAAACCCTATAATGTCCCTGTACCCATAGCTGACTCCAGTGGGTCCCCATGATCACAGCTGGACCCTGGGTCTGGCCTCTGTACCCACAGCTGGCTCTGAGTAGGGCCCCCATGCCCAGAGCTGAGGCCCAGAGCTCCCCATGATATTTCTTGTTTGGGCATTACCTGAAACACCACCTATAGTCATCCTTGCCATCAGGTGTGTACCCCACCTGCAGCAGTCTGCCTGAGCGGAAGACCTTTCTCATACATTTAAGGAAGCTTTTCTCTGTGTCCAGGATGGTGATGGCTCTCTGTGGAAAGACGTAGACAAAGGGCAGAGGGACAGAGGGCTTACCCAGAGGCTGCCTCTGGCTGCCCATGATAGCTAGCAAGAGCAACCTCTCCAGGGTCTCTCCCAGCCCCAGAGCCAGACTCCCAGAGCTTGATCCTGCAGCCCACCTGGTGCACATCCCATGGAAGGACCTCAGCCAGTCCAGCCCTAGAACTTGGCAGGCACTGTTGGTGCATGCTGAGTCTGGGCAGGGCACCCACATGAGCAACATGGTATGTACCAACCTCAGACCCTTCTCTAGGCGTTCACAAAGGGGCAATATAAAATAGCAGTTAAGAGCAGAGCCTCAGCAATGAGACTGCCTGGTTTTGATCCTCGCTTTGTTACTTACCAGCTGTGTGGCCTTGAACACAGACACCAAAGTGCTCAGTGCCTCAGTGCCTTCATCAAAAACAGGGATAGTGATAAGATCCAGTCGCTACAAAAGGACATCATGTTTGATGAAATCAAGGGCTAACAAAAATGAGGGAACTACTCACTGAGACGGATTGACAGAACAGCCTCAACAATGAACTCAAACATACCAGCAACCATGAAGATGGTGCAGGGACAGACAATGTTTCACTCTGTTACACATAAGGTCACTGAGAGTCGAAGCCAACTCAATGGCAACCAACACCAGCAATAGGATTGTTGAGATCAAATGAGGTAACAAAAGACACTTAGAACAGTCTGTCATACTGTGTTGGCTTGTGTGTTGTTATGATGCTGGAAGCTATGCCACCAGTATGTCAAATACCAACAGGGTCACCCATGGTGAACAGGTTCCAATTGAGCTTACATGCTAAAACAGAAGGCCCTCAAACTGCACAGTGGCCACACAATGGACTCCAGCGTGCCAATGATCACGAAGATGGTTCAGAACCAGGCAATGTTTTGTTCTATTGTTAGTGGGTCATGAGTCAGAGCTGACTCAACAGCAACTAATAACAACAACTTTACAATAATGACACTTCTTGTTGTAGTAACTGGGGTGAGAGATGTGGACCAGGTGGCTTTGAATTGCAGCTCTCAGGTACCTGCCCCATATTAGCTGCTCCTCTTGAGTCTGGCTTATGGCGCCCAGTATTGACTGAGTTCCTCTCAGGTAGGCACCCTGTGAGGCTACATCTTCTGTCTCCATCCCTCCCGCATTGCCCAGTCCACAACCAAACAATGAATACCAACTGAGCTAATCTGGCATTGCAGCACAACACAGGTGCTGCTGCACCGGGAAACCCTGCAAGCAGGACCACATGGGAATAAACCGGGGAGTGGTGCTGCCTGACTCCTTGGGCCCAGCCAGGCTTCCTGCCCTTCCTCAAATCCTGCATGGGCTTCCATGCCTAGCTGTATACAGAAGTAGACAACATAGTTGACAGCCTCTTGGCTGAGAACACGCCCCATCAATCAACCCACCTGCAGCTTCCAGATGTTCTTGCTCTCCTGCGAGATCTTGTTTACAGTCTCACCCATGAGGGCAATGAGCATGTTGAGCAGCAGGATGTAGGTGAGAATCACGTAGGCCAGTAAAAGGATGATGAAGACAGCCTTGAATTCATAGTTCTCAGTGAACTCTAGGTCGCCCATACCAATGGTGAACTTGAACAGCTCCAGGCACGTGGAGTACAGGCTATTGTAAGAGCTGTCAGTGGGCCGGCAGCCAAGCCCCCGCCACCTGTGTGGTGTGGTCTCAGCCAGCACAGAGTTATTCTTTCCATCCTCAATCAGTGTCACCACCGCTACAGGACATGGGGAGGAGAAGAATGGCTGGCTGGGAGTCAAGATCTCAGGCCCCCTGACA